AGAAAAACAAAATATCACAATGTGAGTTTTTTCCAATATCGTGCAGCCCTAATTACTGTGTATTTCAATTAATGCACCTTCGTGGCCCCCTGAAAGTATTTGGACACACCAGAAACATTTAAGTGTTTGAGTATCATTGCATTAGACACAAAATATTTCATTTACTGATTTTTCATAAACTACCAGAAAAAAAAATTGCACTTGATTTGATATATTCTTTTTTTAATGCATTGACATCCATAAAATTTTGATGTGTCCCTAAGCACTTTTTTAGGGCCGCTGAATAAACAATAATGTAATCTGCTGAATCCACCAATTCAGTTTTTCAGACAGTAATATTTTGTCTCACAAATCCTCTTAACCTGTATGATTTGTTGCTGCAGTGGGCCTGTGCTCTCATTGACTGTGACCTCGAGCGGTGAGCACTGTTTTAGTGGTGGAATCGATTCAACAATACAGTGGTGGAACATCCCCAGCTCTAACGTAGACCCTTACGACACATATGGTGAGAAGATAAAATCTATGTGGCTATGTCACATCTTATTTTGATAAAACTTAACCTGCTCTATGTGTGTCCTCTGTTTCACTCAGACCCCAGCGTGTTGGCTGGTACGTTGTTGGGTCACAGTGACGCAGTGTGGGGATTGGCTTACAGTGGAATCAAAGAGCGACTGCTCTCCTGTTCAGCTGATGGGACGATCAAGCTGTGGAACCCTCAGGGGAAGTCACCGTGTCTCAGCACATTTAACTCAGATAGAGGTGAGCATAATGTATCTTGTTTGCACTGTTCTGTAATCAATGAAGTGTTGGCAAACTAATTTCTGCATTTCCTGTCTTTCAGATCATGGTGTTCCCACATCAATTGATTTCAATGGGTGTGATCCAGCTCATATGGTGGCATCCTACAACACGGGAGATGTTGTCATTTATGATCTAGAGACATCACAGCCCGTCGTGGTATTCTCCGCACAGGGCGAGAGCGGTACATCCTTCACATTTGTTCTAAAAAAGACAAAGTACACTTGTGGATATGTGATAGTTATATATAGTTCAGTAATTTATTTACAGGAGCGTGAGAATTGGATTTGTCATGTTTACTCTCTTCTGCTTTGTTGCAGCTATTCCTTTTGGGAATCACATTAATAAAGTAGTCAACCACCCCACCCTGCCAATCACAGTCACCGCTCACGAGGATAGACACATCAAATTCTTTGATAATAAATCAGGCGAGTTTTTTTTTTTGTGCGTGTCATTATAAAATACCATTATAAAATATTCATGCACTACTGTTCACTAGTTTGGTGTCAGTACGATTTTTATAATGTTTTAGAACGAAGTCATATGTTCACCAAAGCTGCATTTATTTGATGAAAAATACAGTAAAACAATAGTATTGTGAAATGTTACGTTTTCCATTCAAATATTTTTAAACTGTCATTTTTAAAATCTAAAGATACTTTAGTCTTAGTGTCACATAATCTTTAAAAAAATCATTCTAATATGTTGATTTGGTGCTCAAGTAACATTTCTTATTATCACAGCACAAAATCACTGCTTAAAATGTTTGTATAAACCATGATACTTTTTTTCAGAATTCTTTGATGAACAGAATTAATTTGAGAAAGAAATCTTGTGGAATATTATAAATCAATTTAAAGTATCCTTGCTGAATGGAAGAAATTGTATTTCTTAAAAAAAAAAAAAGACTTTTGTATGTCTGAATTTTTTGTTATTTTTAATATTATTAATTATAGTTAACATAGTTAACTTACGTAACTATGCTTTTTATACTCCCATTTTGTTTTAGTTGTTTATTTAAAATCTCAGAAAATATTTCAGTGTATTATTTGTTCATAAAACATTTTTGTTCAATTATATTTAGCCAGAAGTCACAAATACCCAGAGAAAAGTTAATGATTTGTTGAAGTCATGTTTGGGATTATTAATCACCTTCCATCCATTTCGCTTTGTAGGTAAAGCCATTCATGCAATGGTGGCTCACTTGGATGCTGTTACTAGTCTGGCTATAGATCCAAATGGCATCTACTTGATGTCAGGAAGTAAGTGTTTTTTTTTTCTTCTTCTTCTTCTGCTACTGTATCAGCGAAAGTCATAGCGATCTATAAATTTTTTTTTTAATTTTCTGCTGAATTGTCCCTTTAAATATAAACTTAATGTCTCTTTTTCGTCTAACACAGGTCATGATAGTTCCATCCGCTTGTGGAACGTGGACAGCAAGACATGCGTACAAGAGGTTACTGCGCACAGGAAAAAGTCGGACGAGGCCATATACGACGTTGCCTTCCACCCATCTAAGGCATACATAGGAAGTGCTGGAGCCGATGCCCTGGCCAAAGTGTTTGTATAAAAGCACCTCTGAATTAATGCATACGTAAAGACGGAGAAAGAAAGGACTGCTTCACTGCCTTGTGTAACAAGAGTAGCATTTCTCACACTACATTGAAGTGGCTTCCACCTACGCTGTCAAACTCACACCACACACACACACGATACCAGGTGCCAAGAGGGGGACATGCCGTTTTTTTTTGCGAAGCCAGTGTGGAGTGCTCAATCAGTTTTAATCTTTTTTTTTTGTTGTTTTCTTCAAAAAAAGAAAAAATTTAACTGTAATTTACTGTAAATCAAAGCTGGAGTGAAACCAGTGTTTGTAGCCTTTTGACTGGTTTTCAAAAACTGAGCTGATAATGTGTCCTGTAGGTATGTTTCAGTGACCATGGAGTGGTTATCATGTTCATCCATCAGTAGGTTGTCACCGACCATCATCCCGGCACCAGAGGAACTGAGTCCCGCCCTGCCGAGCCATAAACCAGACCCTAATCTCAGTCACCCTCCTCACCCTAATGTAGCGTGCAAGCGAATACGGTTGAACTCAGTCAACCTTCACACCTTTAGCGTTTGTTTCATTTTTTTGTGTAAAAAAAGTATAGTTTTTATAATCAATTTTATATAAATAAAGACTGTCATAAAACCGCTGGAAATCACATTTTTTAAAGGGACTATAATCCCACTCAAGCCCTCCATTTTATGTGGTTCTTCTTCTTGAAGGTCTTGTGTCTCTGGAAACCCTGGCTGAGTGCTCTCCTTGCGCATACTACATTGCTTTAACATTGTTTTATCACATAACGGAGAGACTGTACGCTAGTAGAAGCACATCGCGTGGTGCCCTGAGAGCTTTTAGGAATTTACAAATAAACTGCAGCATCCTGTCACTATGTGATGTTTCTGTACACCTTACTGTAAAAGGAGTTTAAGTATCACAGGTTAGATATCCGAACACTATTTATTTTCTGTTTGTGGATAGTCTTATCCTTCAGAGCATAGCTTGATGGTAACTCAAAGATTGGGCGGTCGCTAACCAAACCGAACAGGTTATCTGATAGGAAATTAACGTATATAGGTTAATATGAAAGCTCATGCCGTTTCTTGGTTGGTTGAAAACGGGGTTTAAATTCACCTCATGATGCTGGAGATCAGGAGAGAAGCGATAAGTTAAAGGGATGGTTCAACCCAAAATGAACAAATTATTTTCTCATCATGTCATCATTTACTCACCCTCATGTCATTACAGACCTGTATAATTGGAACATAAAAGCTATTTTGAGGAATGAAATGGAACTCAGTGGAATGTTGGTTACCTTACAGGTTTGGAATGAAATGAAGGCGAGTAATTGATAGTTTTCATTTTTTGGGATTGGAGTAATCAATCAAATGTATTCGAAATATTTGGTTTTGACGTTTTGCCCCAATCTGTTCAATGATTTTTAAAGGAAACAATGCAGTTTATGGTGTAACAAAATACCTTTTTGTTTGTGTAATGCATGGTTAATACTACAATAAAGTATTTTTTCTAGTCTTCCAAAAGTTCTGATCAGTTTGAAGAGTTTTGTAAGGTTTTGATTTACTACGAATCAACAGATTTTAAAGATTGTACCACATAGCAAAACAGCTGTTGAAAAGTAATGTGTATATAAAATGTCTATAATAAATATTAAATGGTGTATCTGTATATGCAACATGCCCCTTGTCTCGACAATTAATGCAGCGTTGTATTTATCACGATATTTGATTGACGGGTCATTGATGACGAATGACGATTGGCAGGATTCACGCTTTTAATAAAGATGGTACGTGTTTTTACTGAGATTGAACAAAGCGCCTACTACACAAATTAATACACGTGTTATTTGAATATGTTCAAGTTTCTGATGATGATCAGCCTGTTCAGATGAGGATTATGTTCAGCTGGTCAAATTGTACGAACGCCTTGTCCTTTATTGAGAAGAAAGTAATAAATTATAAACAAATGTACAAGCAGTTTGACGCCCCTCCTCCCCTCTGTTTTCATTACTTGAGACAGTAAAGCATGCATATGGAAAGGTACACAGAAAATAGGTTCGATAAATACATTAAAGTATAATTTAAGAAAAGGAAAACATGATATAGAATTAAAACGTTAACTTTTCAACCGTAATTCTCATCGCACACCCAGACATACGTGATTGATTGTGATGTTGTGAATGTACTACAGTGCATGTATATTGTTTGCTACTCCTGGGAAGGACTATATTTTATTATATAACCCAGATCTATTTATGCAATTGTGTGAATGAAAGCTGTGTATTTGTGTACTGCCATCAGAATGCATATGAGGGCGCTGTTTCACTGACAATCTTCATCATGGCTGCTTTTGCTTACCATCTTGTGCACAACCTGCATAACTAGAATTGAATCTTCAAGTCCCGAAATTAATATAAAAGAGCCTTTTGTTACAGTGTCCCCTCCACAGGGAAAAAAAAAGACGTGCCAGAAGCAGCGAGTGAATGTTTTTCTCCAGGAACATAAAGAGAAAGACTATAAATCACAAATAATTACATTCTCCACATTATAGAGAGGTTGACATACTATACTGTGTGATACATTCTCAATTAAGCTGTAAAATCCTTTGGATCAAACGTACCAATACCTTTATAACAAAACCATTCAAATCCCTTTTTCTGCAAAAGACAAAGGTGATTTTTCTTATTCAGGCTTGCCCTTTTTTCCTCCTTCCTTTCCTGCACTTCTTACTTTCTGTTCTTGCACTCAAGCAGTTGCACTGTCTAATTGAACTCTGTGAAGTCTCTGCAGATGCCCCGTACGATGGGCTGCTGGAACTGCGCCAGGCCGGTGAACTCGCGAGTGAAAAACACATGGCTTTCCTTGGGCTCGGACGCCATCGCCTTCAGATCTTCCATCGGAGCCCAAGCTACGCCCACTGTAAACACAGTGATTCCTGTGAAGAAACAATTAGAACATGGTCAAGATTTCATCACACTTGTTTACTTTGTAAATGCACTATTGATATTTTGTGCATTAGAGATAAAGTGCTTTTTAGAGCTCTTAAATGTTCTAGAACTTCAGAACCCAGGGACCCCCACCTACACCCTTACCACCTCAGGGACCATCACTATAAAAATAAGACTTGATTTTGTTGGTAACACTTAACTCTAACTTTAAATAAGAACATGATCTTCTCTACTGACCCCCTGGACCCTCAGGGGCCTGCAAACCCAGGTTCTAGATGAAATGTCAGTGCAAAAAGCGTACCCTCCCTCTGGGCGGCCATAGCCGGCCCTCTCACATCATCGTAAGACTGTCCATCAGTGATGATGATGAGGAAATTCCTGTTGGGGCCTGTGCGGGGCTTAAAGAGACTCCGCACTGCAAAGTTGATGGCGTCTCCCGTGGCCGTTCCTCCGCTCATGTACGGGATGTTCTGCAGGGCCCTCAGAGCATTATCTTTTGTGGTGTGGTCATTGAAGTTGAACTCCATCCTTTGGTCGTAGGTGAACTGAATGGCACCGATGCGAGAGCCGATGTCAGAGATGTCAAAGTTGCGCGCGATAGAGAGAAGAAGGTCCAGAACAAGCCGAAAGTTCCCATCACCTACACTGCTGGAGCCATCAATCAGGAAGCCCAGGTTCACTGAGTTATAGCATGTCTTGCTGCAGAGCATCTGATCGATGGAGCAAAGTTTATGAGCTAGTGGCTTCACAAACTTGTTGGTGCTGAACCAGCTGGGCATGGTGAAGGTGAAGAACTCGTTGTCCTTGCACACCGCCTGTCAGATATATGTGGGTATAAATGGATTTCAGAAAAACTCTGATGTTACCAATAAAGATTTGTGTTTTTTTCATATGTGAAACATCTTACCTTTCTCATGAAGTCTTGCTCGCTCACCAGGCTCATCTCCTCAGGAGCAGGTTTGGCCACAGACACAAAGAAGATGTTAATACCAGACTCTCTGGCTAAAATTGCTGCCTCCTCCACATTATCAGAAGGCCACCCATCGACAAACACCACAATGACCCGTGGGTAACCTCTACGAACACCAAAATCCGGATTGAAGAAGTTCCTCACAGTGTGTAGTATGGCCTTACCTGTGCAAAAGGCAATAACTCAAGCCTGCCAAGTTCTGCTTATTGAAGCCAAAGCACCTTCAATAATAAATCAATCCAACTAAAACCATCATGTGTCAGAGATATAAGGAATGAGTTTAATACAAGATATTCTATATTGACACTATCTATGACATGCTGTCAATTATCAAACAAAAGCATACTGACTGTAAAAACAAGTAAAAAATGCATTTAGAGTAATGCATTTACAACGGAAGTCTATGGGGCAAGGCATTTTAAAGGTTTCAAAGCACAAATGTAAAAATGTTTGCATGCTGCATTGTTATACCAGTAGCAACAAGTGACTCTCTTTTTAAGTGATTAATTTATTCAACCAGTTCCACAAAACTTGACTGCCTTTGAGTAACTGAATCATTCACTCAACCGATTTGTTAAAAAAAAAACACTCTTTCGTTCAGGAATGTTTATGACTGAGTTATTAAATCATACACTCAACCAATTAGTTCAAAACACTGATGTTTGTTTCCCAGAGATGCGCAAATGCTGTGGCTTCATTTAGAACTGCTTTCTTTAGCAAAAATAGGCAAAGTTGCTGGTAGCACTGAAAACGGGGTTTTTCTTTCATATTGACTTTAAATGTTTAAAGAGTAGCTCACCCCAAAATGAAATTCTGTCATCATTTATGCATGATGGAAGTCAGTGGGGACCAGCAACTGTTTGGTTACCCACAATCTTCAAAATATCTTCTTTTATGTTTAACAGAAGGAGGAAATCCATACCGTTTGGAACAACTTGAGGGTGAGAAAATGACAGAATTTTCATCTTTGAATGAACTCTCTTTAAGTCTTGTAGTTGTACTTTCAAAAAGGTGTGTATTTTAACATGTATTCTGGGACCTATTGATTTCCATTGTAAATGCCTTACTGTCAATGGCAATTTTTTGTTTTGTCATTTTTTTTACTTTTCCAAAAAAAAATAGCATGATTTAGATTAATTTCATCCAATCATTCATTTGAAATGTGAATAGAAGGTGAGGTTGTAGACCTGTATTGGTATTGCCCCCAATGTATGGGATCTCTTTGATGGCAAAAGTCAGATCTTTGGCTGTTGTATAGTTTGACAAGTAGAATTCAGTTCGAGGTGTCTCACTGGAAAGAAAAACATGAAGTTATACTCACTGACAAAGGAAAAAATGGCTAAACAGCCATGTGACAAACAACTAGGATTTGCACAGATCACCTGGTTTGCACCACTCCTACATGAGGACCTGGTGTTCCAACCTTCAGCATGGCTACAAGCTTACTGACAAAGTTCTTCTGCAGATTATACCGCCGCTGTCCAATGTTGTAGCTGCTATCCAGCAGCAAAGCCATATCGACTGGGCAATCTGGAACAACATGAGAGAACAGTTTACTCGCGCGTGACTTGTATTAACAAATTTGGTCCGTTTAGAAACTTTGCCGTGTGAAAGCGAACCGCACCAAGAATAAAAAGCAACATTGTAATAATTTTAATCCCTGTTTCGGAACAAAGCAATCGATCTACAGGTGTGAAAATACACAGCTCTTTCTTGTCATGATCATCATTTTGCTTTGACAAACAATTTAAATTGTATTAGAAAAGGTCATACAGACCCCTGTTTGCTGTTGTTGGAGGAGGAGGTTTCTTCGCTGTCTTTTTTACTGGTTTTTTGGCTGCAAGGGAGAAGTAAGGATACTCAGTGTATAGACTACATGTCAGTTGTTTCCAGTTATCTAAACGCTTGTTACCTGCTCCAGATGCAACATTGGCAGAACTGCTGGTTTGACTGGACACTTCCAAAGGCAAGCTAATTGTTCCTGAGAAGAAGAAAAAATGTAACCTGATAAATCTGTGTTGATAAATTCGCTTTTATATTCTATATCATTTTATACACTATATTATTTATATAGACCAACTGGCCACACTTTTCCTAACATTATGACATAGTTATTGAGATTAGTAGCATATCTTTTTTAAACAGCACCATTATGTTTAGTAAGTGTTTATGTTAGGTTCATCAAGAACAATGTATTATATGATATTCTGATTAATTACACTAACTCTAATATTATTGTTCAAATTCAATATTAATATAATTATATTGAAATTATATTTTTATTTTTGACTGTGCAGAGCCAGTGAGTAAACACTACTCTATTGTCTATACAACTTTGCATCTGTAAACAAATCTACAAATTCTAAATCAAAACAGACACTAGCATTTGTAATGACGCAAATCGTAATTGTCTCCACTCACTGGCCACAGTGAAAGATGAGCTCCATTGGGACAGGGACTGAGACTGGATGCCATGAGCGTAAGAGCTGAGGTAGTTTGTCCTCCCTTGCAGCCTGTGAACCTCCACAGGTCCACCAGATAGACCTATGATTCCTCTGGATGACAGACAAAAACGTTCCTTGCTTTCTGAGATTCTTAAATAATTCTAGCAAGTCAGTAACTTTATGATTATTATTTCTGTGATTGTACCTGTGTATTGCTGCTCCACATATGCTGGAAATAGAGGCATATACTCCTGAACCAAACACTGACAGACTCCAGAGAGTGCAGTTTGCTGGGCAGAGCACTATCTGACGTGTGTCTGGTAGATCCACCGCACGGGTTCCACAGCTAATTGGTGTTGGAACTAAGAAATGTACAACGTAAGATATTACGCGTATAATGATTATGTATCTGTCAATTAAAACAAATATGTTACCAAAAAAAAAGTGAACTTGAAAACTATTTTTCCACAAATGGTCTCTTTGCTATTAATTCATTAATACAAAATAAACTAAATTAAAACAGTTAAAAAGTGTTTGTCATTTGTTACATAAAAATGTAAATAAAGTGGCCCTAATTTTTAGTTTTAATATTTTCTCTAATGTAACTCAATTCCTTTTATTTAATATGAAAAAAAGAGAATTAAAAATGGACTTTCACTGACCATTTAAATCAGATCCAAATGTGCAACAGGTCAAAGACAGAATACCTGTGGGGGGGGGATTAAATAATGCAATGAAATCTGTGCA